GGCCGCCGCCACCCGCCGCGCCGCCGCGGCGACTGGGCGCGGTCGCGGCGTGAGGCCGGGTGGGAGGGGCGGGGCGTCGGGGGAGAGGGCTGGGGTGATGGGACCGGTCTGGAACAAGATCGGTAATTCCGGCGCTATGGCGTGACCGACTCGGAACAGGGACGGGAATACTGCGACCGACACAACACCGGTGGGGGGAGGCTATTACCGGCACGGACACCGGAGGGAGTGCTGTGACCGACATCAGACTGGTGAGGGAATATAATTAGTGACATGTGACCGGTGAGCGGATATTGTGATAGACACGGGTCTGGTGAGGGAATACAATTAGTGACATGCGACTGGTGAGCAGATATTGTGATAGACATGGGACTGGTGAGGGAATACAATAAGTGACATGTGACCGGTGAGCGGATATTGTGATAGACACGGGTCTGGTGAGGGAATACAATTAGTGACATGCGACTGGTGAGCGGATATTGTGATAGACACGGGTCTGGTGAGGGAATACAATTAGTGACATGCGACTGGTGAGCAGATATTGTGATAGACATGGGACTGGTGAGGGAATACAATAAGTGACATGTGACCGGTGAGCGGATATTGTGATAGACACGGGTCTGGTGAGGGAATACAATTAGTGACATGCGACTGGTGAGCGGATATTGTGATAGACACGGGTCTGGTGAGGGAATACAATTAGTGACATGCGACTGGTGAACAGATATTGTGATAGACATGGAACTGGTGAGGGAATACAATTTGTGACATGCGACCGGGAGCAGATATTGTGATAGACACGGGACTGGTGGGGGATTACAATTAGTGACATGTGACTGGTGAGCGGATATTGTGATAGACACGGGACTGGTGGGGGGAATACAATTAGTGACATGGGACTGTGAGGGAATGTTGCGATCTGCGCGGGAATGAGGGAGGAGTGGATGCTGAGACGGACATGGAACAGGGGACAGAACTGCGACGGATGCGGGATCAGGGAACGAAAAGAAACTCGGACCGTTAGGAAAGCCCGGGAGCCATTGCCGCGGCCGACGCGTAGACAACGCAGGAATATCGCGACTGATATGCGCCCGGGAAGACAACAATGCAACCGAGACGGAGAAAGGAGGTAATACTTTGAAAAACGTGGAAACGTGGCGGAAAATGTGACAGACACAAACCCGTGGAAGCAAACCTGCTGCAGACGTGATGCATGGCCGGCTAATGCTCAGGTAGTGCGTCCGGCAAGCAGAGAAAGGTCATGAGGGCGATAATAGCCTGATGTGGCTTGCCTGCTGCCATGTGGCGAGGACTGAAAGGAGGGAAACCTTAAGAGAAATCCCTGGACCTGATGACCCGGAGACAAACGCTGCCCCTGGGCTTGGTGATTAGAGCCTGTGATGAGTTCAGAGCCGACGGATTTGGCCGGTGCGCAGCGCCTTGATTAGCAGACGGGCGCGGCACGAGTTTCAAGACTCTTCCACGCGGGCCATATCCTGCAGGCGTGACATTTAAAGGCGAGACGACGGCGCCGCGGGTCGGCTCCTCCTGGGAGCGAGCGCCGTCCGCGCCCCGCGCCAGTATGGGACAACTTCCACCGAGTTGGAGCGCATTGTCGCTACCGACCCGCGGCGAACGAGCACGGGGACGGCGGGCGACAGCGGGCCGACGAGGCCGGGCGATCGACGCGAGGCGGCGCGGCGACGGAACGACCGAGGCGAGGCGGCGGCGGGGCGGGGCCGGGGCGGCGGCGTTGCATAGACGGCGGCCGGGGCCCCGCATGCCGAGCGGGGCGCTTTACGATCGATCACCACGGCGGAGCGGCGCGCCAACAACGGCCCGCCGTACAAAAGACGGGACGGGATCATTCAGCGGCGGCGCTCTGCCGTGTCCCGCCGAGCGTCTTCCCGTCTCGGTGGCGTGGCGTGCGAGCAGCGCGCCGACGGCAGGCCGCAGAGCAGGCAGACGCAGCTGCAGCAGCCGTTCGTATTTTCAGTTCTGGACGCCGTGCTCACGGGCACGGGAAGGCCGTAAGACGGCCGCTATCGCTCATGTTGTGGAAGTCACGTCAAGATGAGGCGCTTTCACTGGCTTGGGTACGAGCGCGCTTCGCAGGGGCTTGTAACGAATGGCTCGGGCCCGTGGAGGAAGCGAACGTCCTCTGTTTCTGTCAGGCCCGGGGACGAAATGCCGTCGGTGTGTCTGATGGATTTGAAACACGCGAACGGCTCATGGACGTTATGGTCATGGTCATTACTCTCTGGAAATGTTCCCCATCAATCTTGTTTAAAGTCTCGCTTTTCCTTAAAACCGCTTTTGGCTTGGGGTTCCAACCTTCTGTCGTCATGCGGACGAACGCTGAATTGTTGCATCTCAAGGCGATTATTCTTGTTTCAAACAGATCGGCTTCAATTGTTGTTTTATAAGGCCGCAGACGAGTTGAATGAAAGGGAAAGCAAGGAGCGTAAAGAAATATGCGGATGGCAAGTTTGGCCCATGCCAAAAGCTCACCTTCGCACGCTAATGGTGTGCTAGACTTACTCAGGTGAATGCTTGGCACACACAGACATCGCCGAGGCAACACTGGAGGCGGTTGGGCTTTTCT